GGGGACAGGGACACTGCTGACATGGGGGGACAGGGACACTGCTGACATGGGGGACAGGGACACTGCTGACATGGGGGTGACAGGGACACTGCTGACATGGGGGACAGGGACACTGCTGACATGGGGGGCACTGGGGACACTGCTGGCAGTGGGGGGCTGGGGGGACCCGGGGGGTCACGCAGGTCGTGTGGCCTGCAGACATGTCACAGGGGTGGTGATGGCTCTGGGAGGTGCTGTAGTAAATCCCAGCAGTCTCAGGAATTCCAGCATGAACCCTTGAGGAGCAGGGAGGCTTTGGAGTGCAGGGAAGAGCCAGGGGATGGTTGTGGGAGCCCCATGGGTGTGTCTGTGATTTGGGAGGGGTGTGTGAAACCTGCTCCTTGGAGAGGTAACTGAGCCTGATGGCGGAATCCGGGAATGCCGGTGCTGGGTGTTCCCTGCTCCACTCCAGGCTCCTGCTCCTGTGCTGGCTCTGGGAGCTGCAGCACGGAGATGCCCCCAGGTGTGAGGCTAGATCTGAGCCAGTCCTTTGGGATGTCCTTTGGGATGTCCCTGCCCGCTCTGGGACAGGCTGGGACAGGCTGGGACGCCGGCTCAGGCTGGGTTCGGGGAAATGTGGGATCAAGGGGTGGATCAGGGGTGACTGTGCCAGGGCTCCTGTCTCCCCAGATGGTGAACGTGTACCGGGAACACCAGCACTCCTGTTTCCTCTACCTGGGCAGCATCCTGGTGGATGAGTACGGCATGGAGGAGGGCTGCAGGCAGGGCCTGCTCGACATGCTGCAGGTGGGGCCCTGTCATGGAATCACAGAGGCTGGAAAAGGCCCCTGAGCCCACCGAGTCCAACCCTCCCCCAGCACTGCCAAGGCCACCACTGACCCATGTGCCCAAGTGCCACATCCACACAGCTTTTAAATCCCTCCAGAGATGGGACTCCAGCCCTGCCCTGGGCAGCTGTGCCAGGGCTGGACAGCCCTCTCCAGGAAGGAATTTTCGCTAATGTCCAATCTGTAGAACCTCATACTCATTTGGCTGGGAGGGGATCTTAAAGCCCACCCAGTGCCACCCCCTGCCATGGGCAGGGACACTTCCACTATCCTGAGTTGCTCCAAGCCCCATCCAACCTGGCCTTGGACACTCCCAGGAATGGGGCAGCCCCAGCTCATGCAAGGAAGGAGAGTTGGAGGAGTGATCCCAGTAGTTGCTGATGGATCCCTGTCCCTCCCCAGGCTCTCTGCATCCCCACCTTCCAGCTCCTGGAGCAGCCCAACGGCCTGCAGAACCACCCGGACACTGTGGATGACCTGTTCCGCCTGGCAGCCAGGTACCCCCCTCCCCCCGGCCCAGCCATCCCCCCGGCCCCGGGGAGGGTCCCCGAGGGGCTGGGAAGGGGCAGGAGCTGCCCCTGACGTGTGTCTGTCCTCACGGGCAGGTTTATCCAGCGCAGCCCCGTCACCCTCCTGCGCAGCCAGGTGATGATCCCCATCCTGCAGTGGGCCATCGCTGCCACCACCCTGGACCACCGGGACGCCAACTGCAGTGTCATGAAATTCCTGCGGGATCTCATCCACACCGGCGTGGCCAATGACGTGGGTGACCCGCGGGGACCTTCCTGGGGGGCACTTCCTCCGTGGGGACATTGCTCAGGGGCACTTCCTCCGTGGGGTTGTCATCATGGAATCACAGTGGTTTGGGTGGGAAGGGACCTTAAAGCCCATCTCATTCCACCCCCCTGCCGTGGGCAGGGACACCTCCCACCAGACCTGGTTACTCCAAGGCCCGTCAGCCCCATCATCCTTATCCCATGGTCCTCCCAGCCACTCTGCTGGCGGAGAAGCTCTGGGAGTCACCTCCGGGGCAAGGAGCGTGTCCCTGTCCCCAGGCCCTGCTCACCCCCTCCTCCTTCCTCCCACAGCACGAGGAAGACTTCGAAGTGCGGAAGGAGCTCATCAACCAGGTGATGACCCAGCTGGGGCAGCAGCTCGTGAACCAGCTCCTGCACACGTGCTGCTTCTGCCTCCCGCCCTACACCCTGCCCGACGTCGCCGAGGTGCTCTGGGAGATCATGCAGATCGACCGCCCGGTGAGGGGATGGACCCCCTGGGAGGGGATGGACCCCAGAGGGCTGGGATGGACCCCCAGGGGGCTGGGCTGAGCCCCCAAAGGGACAGGCTGGGATCCAAAAGGGTTGGGCTGGACTCCAGAAGAGTGGGATGAACCCCCAAAGGGTTGGGCTGCACTCCAGAGGGGTGGGATGAACCCCCCAAAGGGTCGAGCTGCAGCCCTGAGCTGCCCCTGTGGCCACATGGGACCCCAGAGCTCTCTCGAGGCAAGACAGGAGCCACGTTTGGTTCCTCATCCCGAGTTCCTCCATGTCCCTGCACAGACATTCTGCCGCTGGCTGGAGAACTCACTGAAGGGGTTGCCAAAGGAAACCACGGGCGGAGCCATCCAAGTGACACACAAACAGCTCACCGACTTCCACAAGCAAGTCACCAGGTGAGCGGGGCCGGGTCTCCAGCTGGGACAGCCTGGAGCCTGCTGCTTCCCAGGGAATGGCTTCCAGCAGCCCCAGAGCCCCCCAGCCCTGCCTGTGGAGTCCCTCCTGCTGGGCTGTACCATCCCTGTTCCCGTGGCCCGGTGGGAGCCGTGGAGGGCCCGTGTCCCCTCTGCTGTGGCCGGACAGGTTTTTCCGCCTGCCCGATCCCTGCGGAGCCGCGGCCCTTCCCGAGCCACCTCCTCGTCCCGTGAGTCACCGGCTCCGACTGCCGGGCCCTGCCCAGGCCTGTCCATTCCCGGGGCCAGAGCCGGATCCGCCTGGAGCCTCTGGCCAGTGTGGGAACATCGACTCCCTCTGCCCAGCTCTGTCTCGGTCCTGGACAAATCCCGGAGGCCGAGTGCCCGGGGGAGCTGGTTCCTTCCTCCCAGCCACAGCCATGGTGGCACAGGGGTCCCTTCTGGGGGCTGCTGAGCCTGTTCTGTCCCAGCAATTGTCCCTTTGTCTCTCCCAAAATCTCGGAGCCGAGCTCCCGGCTCCCATCCCCGGCAGGACACCTTCCCCACATCACAGACATCCCCTTGGTGTCACCCCCGGTGCCACCCGCTGATGTCAGCCCTTGTCTGGCAGTGCTGAGGAATGTAAACAAGTGTGCTGGGCTCTGAGGGACTTCACCCGCCTGTTCCGATAGCTCCGGCTGCGCACGCTCCTGTCTCCCAGGTAAGGCCCTGCTGCCTGCGGGCTCTGGCACCCCCTGGCACAGGGGGGCGAGGGGCTGACCCTCCCTTCCCCCTGCCAGGAATGTCTTTAAGGAGAAGACAGGAAAGAGCAACCCAAGAATGTGTCCCACAATCAGCCGAGGGCTCTCGCCCGCTCCAGCGCGTCCGGGGCCGCGGGAGGACGGCCCGGGGGTCCCGCCTGCCCGGCGGATCCACGTCCCGGATCTCGGCACCGCCACGAGAAACAGCCCACAGGGGAAAACCCCCAACACCCAACTCCAGATCCTCCAGGCACCGGAGTCAGACGGATCCACACGGATTCGCCCAGCAGCAAAACGAGAAGCTAGAAAAACTTTCTGTGAAATGGAGACAAAAAAAAGAAGAGAAAAAGAAAAAAAAAAAAAAGACAAAAAACCAACAAACAAAAAACAAACAATACAAATTCTTTTAGGAAGATGGGGGTCAGTCGGGGGGGCCCTGGGGCGCTGCCCCCTGAGCCCACCGGGCCCTGCCTGGTGCCGACTCCTGGAGACGACGCAGGCAGGACGGACTCTGCAAATAGAGATTTATATTTTATTTTGTTCTGGTTTTTTCAGTTTTTTTTTTTTTTGGGTTTTTTTTTTTTTTTTTTTTTTTTTTCCCTTTTTTTGGGTTTTCTTTGGTTTGATTTTGGGGTTGGAGGCAGCGGCTCGAGGGCGGGCGGGCGCATGCGGTTCCCTCCGGGGGTGTGTAGCCATCTCGAGAACAATAAAAAACAACAAAAAACTGAACAGATAAATTAACACCCTGCCGAGGCCCCTCTGCTGCTTCTCTCAGGGCTGGGGCTGCTTTGTGACCCCAGCTCTGGGGGGCTCCAATCCAACGTGGCCCCAGCCTGCCCCTGTTTTCTTGCTGTTTTCCCCCAAAACCCTGGGAGGGGGGGAGGGAGGGGGCAGCCCCCCCCCTGCTGTGTCACATCCTGGGGGGGCCAGGGACAAGGGTGGTCACAGCCCTGGCCCCTCAGAGCACCCTCGGGTGCTGGTCACCAGCAGCTCTGGGGGACAGGGATAAGGACAGGGATGGGTGGCCCTGATTCCACCACCCTGAGGGGACAGGGATGGGTGGCCTGGCTCCCCCAGCCTGGCCGGCCGCAGGGTACTGGTCAGCCTGGCTGGCAGTGCCGTGGTGTCCCCGTGTCCCCCACGTCCCCTCAGTGGGGCAGGGGCCCGGGTGGCAGCGCCCAGGGTGCGGTGGAGGGGCCGGGCGGGGGCTGTGCCGGTGGCAGCCGCTGGTGGCTCTGCCAGAGCTGGTGCAGCTCCTTGAACTGCTCCACCATCCTGTCCTTGAGGTCGGGGTGGGAGATCTGCAGCGGGATGCTGTCGGCCGACCAGGACAACTCCCCGGAGAACATCTCCAGCAGCAGCCGGGCCGCCACCGGCACCACCTGCGAGAGCCCCCGGTGTCACCAGGGCAGGGACACCCCCGTGTCCCCCCGGGGACAGCTGGGGGGCCCAGCCCCTCACCTGCACCGTGATCAGCTTCTTCTCCTTGGGCTTCTGGTCTGGCCACTCCTCCCCAAAGCACAGGAAGATCTCGAAGGGGGGTGGGGTGGGGGTTTGCCCCTTCTGGAACTGGATGAGCCCTGAGGGGCCCAAGCCCGAGGTGAGGGGCAGGAGGGGCCTCATGCCTGCCTGTCCCCTGTCCCACCACCACCCCAGCTGACCCCTCCATCCCATCCTTTGCCCTCAAAGGACACGAGGCCACTCCCCCTTCCCCTCTGACCGTTTAGGAAGCCCTCGAGGCTGAAGAGCTTGGTCCTCATCTCCCTCTGGATGGGGTTGGGGCCGGGCTGGGGGCTGGCACAGGGCCCCGTCCAGAAGACCTTGCACTGGCAGAGCCGGAGGGCGAAGAGGTCCTGGCCCTGGAGCTCCAGGATGAGCCCACGGTCCAGCACATCCAGCAGCTGGTGGGTGTAGAAGCGCTGCTTCTCGTTGGGAATGGCATCGGGAGCAGGGAAGGGCACCTGTTCCAGCGTCAGCGGCCCGAAGAGCTCCTCCTGCTCCCGCGTGGGCTCCAGGCTGCTGTGGAACAGTCGGCAGCCGTGGGGGTTGCTCACCGTGAGGGCACAGACCTGGCGGCCCCGGTACTGGAACTTCAGCTCCAGGTCAGTCACTGCGGGGGCAGCGGGGTCAGGGGGGGCCAGGGAGCACCCCAGGGACACCCCCAGCCAGCCACCCCCCACCCCATGGCCACCTCTGTCCCACCGTCCCACAGCCACCCCCACCCAGTGACCCCCCTGTGCACACCCTGTCCTGCCACCCCACACCCACGGCCGCCCCCCACACCCACGGCCGCCCCCTCCAGCCCCCCAGAGCCCCAGCCCCTCCTCACGTGGCAGCATGTGGGGGCTGACGAGCAGGTCTGGCATCAGGTGCTGTGTCGGTGCCACCGGGCAGGCGGGCGGGGGACCCAGGGGGGGCCCCATCTCGGCGAGGGTGGGGGGGGTGCAGCTCAGGGGCCCCGTGGGTGCCCCCCGGCTCCCCCTGGGGCAGGGCGGGGGGGGGTGGCACAAAGGGCCCCCCTGAGGGACAGCAGCTGGCGAAGGGGGGGGGCTCCTCCTTGAGCCAGGGGTAGGGGGGCAGCAGGTCCCCCCCGTGCTGGGTGTCTGGGGCAGAGAGAGGGGGGTCAGAGGGTGCACCCCAACACCTCTGACACCCCCCAGCCACCTGACACCCCCCACTCACCATTGATGCTCAGGGCTGTCATCTTCTGCAGCTGTGGGGGACAGCGGGTGTTACAGGGACTCCCCGCCCCCCCCCAGGAGTCCCCAGCTGGGGGTTCCTCCAAGCCTGACCCCCCCCAGGTACCTGGCTGACGTCTTCCTCCCCACTGCAGCCATAGTCATCCTCGTCCCCCCCATCTGCATGGAGAGAGGGGCAGTTGGGAGGTGCAGGGGCAGTTGGGGGGTGCTGGGGGGGTATTGAGGGGTGCTGGGGACTCGTGGGGTGCTGACACTCCACAGGGTGATGGGTCCCTGGTGGGGGGCAAGTCTCTGGGGGCACTACTGTGTCCTTATGGGGTGGGGGGGCTTGCGAGGTGCTGGGTCTGTTTGGGATGTCAGGTCCCTGTCGGGTTCTGGGACCTCACGGGGTCTCAGAGGGGGTTTGTGGGGTGCTGGAGCCTTGCAGGGTGCCAGGTCCTTGTGGGTGCCCAGGTCCCTCCCGGAGCCCCCCCAGCAGTACCTGCGCCCCCGGGGGGCCCCTCGCAGAGCTCGTACACGCGGAAGGGCTGGGCCGGGGACGCGCGGGGCCCGTCCAGGAGCAGCCGGAACTCGCGGCTCTTGTTGAGGGCACAGCGCAGGGTGGCCTTCCAGCGGGGCGGGTCCGGGGGGTCCCCGGCCCGGAACCGGCCCGTTTCCTGCGCCCACGCCTGGGGGATGGCGGGGTCAGCACCTGGCACAGGGCACTCCCACCCGGCGTGCCCCTGCCAGCCCATCATCCCGGGTCCCCCTTGGCACCCTATCCCATTCTCACACCCCCATCCTGTGTCCCCCTCATCGCCCCCCTCCCATATCCCCATTGTCACCCATTCTATGTCCCCACTGTCCCCCTCCCACGTCCCCATTGTCCCCCATCCCCTGTCCCCATTGTCACCCCGACCACCCCCACCCCGTGTCCCCCGGTGTCACCTTGAAGATGGTGTCGTGGTCCTGCGGCCCCGGGGGGTTCCTGGTGGCGTGTCCCCAGGGGATGACGAAGCGCCGCTGCTCGGGGTCGAGCCAGCGCAGCCCCGGGAAGCGGCGGCTGCTCACCTGGGCCACCAGCCAGGGCTTGAGGCGAACGCGCCGGGGGGGGTCCATGGTCTGGGGACACCACGGGCACCTCGTGACACAGTCCCGGTGCCACTCCCGGCCTCGAAAGGGGAACCGGAGCCTCCCCAGAGGGACCGTGCGGGGCCCCGGTTCCTGTTTCAGGGCCGGGAGGGGGGGTGAGGCCCCCCCGAGGTTGTGGCCCCCCCGGGGGGGGTTGGGGGGCGTCACCTGCGCCCCGAAAGCAGAAACTGTGGCGGCTTCGGGGAAAGAAAAGTGAAGCCGAGAAGGGGAGGGGACACGAGGGACGGGGGAAGTGGGGAACAGGGGACACGGGGGACAGGGGGAGGACACTGGGGACAGGGGACACGGGGACACGAGAGATGGGGAACACATTTAGCGACATGAGGGGGACACAGTGAGGACACAGGGGGACACAGGGGGACACAGGGGGACACAGGGGGACAGGGGACAGGAGGACAGGGAGGGACGTGGGGAACTCGCGGGGGAGAGGGACACGGGAGACGAGGGATATGGGGACTGGAGAAGGGACGCGGGTGTGACACACGGGGCACTGGGGGATAGGGAGGACATGAGGCTGGCATTTATGGGATGAGGGGGCACAGGGGACACAGAGACCGGGGGGACGCGGGGGTTACACGGGGGACAGGGACATGGAGGACACGCGGAGTCCAGACCAGTTCCTGTGGGGTCCCTCCAGCAGCCGCGCGAGGGGAGATCCCCCCGTGACCCCCCACCCGATCCCGGTGCCCCCCGCGTGTCCCCCCCACGGGGCAGCGCCCGCGCCAGTGTCGCACGGACCAGCACCGGGCGCGACGGGTCCGGGGGTGCCCCGGGGCTGCTGCCCCCGCTCAGGGACGGGGCGCTGTCCCCGCGTGTCCCCGGGGCTGCTCCCGGACCCCCCAGTATCGCCCCACCCACGGGAACCCACCCCACGGCCTCCTCCCCACGGGGACCCCCCGGCGGACGCCCCCCGGGTCTCACCTGCGCTCGGGGCCGGTCCCGGGGCCGCCGCCCGGAGCTTCCGCACGCGGGGCCGGGCGTGGGTGTGGGGCGAGACCGGCTGGGACCGCCCCGGCACCGCCCCGGCACCGCCACGCCCGGGGGGCATCGGGAACCCCTCCCGTGTCCCCCCGGGACCCCCCCCCCCCCGTCCCCCCGTGCCCCCCTGTGACCTCCGTCAGTCCCCACCCCCTTGTCCCCCTGGGTCCCCTCCACCCCCGTATCCCCCTCCTGGGTCCCGTCTCCTCTTCTCCCCGGTTGTCACCCCCCCACGGCCGCACGGGCAGACGCTCATTAACATACTATTTGCATACATTTGCATACCCCGCTCCACGTGATGCGCGGGGATCCCCGCTGTGGGCGGGAACCTTTTCTGCGGGCTGTGATTGGCCGCGATCGCTGTCACTCATCCCCGGGCCCGCCCACGCCCCCGCTCGGCCCCGCCCCCCGTTGCCGGGCAACGCGCCCGTCCGGGGGCGTTCCCGGTAGCGCGGGGCGGGGCCGTGATTGGTGGGCGTGGTGACGGGGCGGGGCTTGGGGGGCGTGGCCTGTCCATGGCGCCGGGCGGCCCCCGCCGCACCCCGGGGCCCCCCGGTGCCCCCCGCGCCCCCCCCGGTGCCCCCGCCCCGCCCCGGCAGGAGGAACCGGAGGAGGTACCGGGATCCCCTCCCCTGGGGGGGAACGAGCCCGTTCATCGCTGCCGCGAGGGGCTGTCGGGGTGTCCCCGGGGGGAGTCCCGGTGGATTGGGGGCGGGGGGGGGGGGGGGTCCCCGGGGGGAGTCCCGGGGGATGGGGGGCGGGGGGGGGAGTAGATCCCGGTGGATTCCTGGGGGTCGGGGGTCGCATCCCGGTGTATTCCCAGGGGACAAAAGCAGGTGTGCCGGGGGGTTCCCAGCCGGATCGCTGCTCTGCGGCTCGTCACACCACTCCGGCTGCCCTTGCCCTGTCCCCTCCTTTTCCTGGGATCCCGGCTGATCCCGAGGGGCAGCTGCAGCCCGGGTGAGTCCGGCCGCAGGACGGGGCTTGATCCCAGACGGGGAAAGGCACAAAAGATGCCGATTGTGGGATGCTGAGGGGATATTTCCCCAAGGATCCCACTCCGGTGTCTGCTTGGGTCTTGCAAGGCGGGAGTTTCTCTGGAGCGGGACCCCGGGTGGGACGGGCCTTGAACGCCTGGGCCGGAACTCCGGGAGTTCGGTCACGGGAACAGAACGGGGAAAACCTCAGGGTTTGGGTTGTTACCCCGCGGCTCCCCCAGTCGCTCCTTCCCCCCGAACCGGCTCCGCTGCTGCCGCGTTCCCGCGGGCAGGATGGACGGGGCACCGGCGGGGCGGGGTTTCCTCCCAGCCCGGCACAGTCCGCCCTCTTCACCTCGTGTTTTTCTGGAAACAGAAACTGGGATGTGTCTCCCGGATCGCCGCGTGGCCGTGAGAGGGAGCCCCGGCCTCGCTCCCGGGGTGGTGTTTGGACGGGATTCCCTGGAGCTGGCCTGGCACTTCCCGGGCTCCCGGCCAGCTGTGCTCTGGGTGCCATCCCGATGGATTTGGTTTTGGGGCTACTTCAGCTGGGTTTGGCCATACAGGGAGAGCCTGTGGAAACATGGCTCCAGCGCTTTCTCATCCCAAATTTTGTGGCTGGGCTGTGGAGCCGGGATGTGGTGCTGGATCTGCTTCGGGATTCATTCCCTCAGCGGGTCGGGCTCCGGGTCTGACATCCCGTTTTCTGCACGGCAGCTCCGAGTGGACGGTTCAGCGGAAGCTGCGGGAATTCTTCTCCATCCCGCGGTGCCTGGTCAGCGTGTTCAGCCTCTTCCTCGTGGAGCTGATCCGCTTCCTCGGCGAGGCCGTGGTCCAGGTGAGCCGCCCCATTCCCATGGAGATGTGGCCGGAGCAGCGGCTGAGGACGTCAAAATCCTTCAGTATCAGGAGAAGAAACTTCTGGTTCCTGCTATCCCAAATTTCCCCTCCTATAGCGGAATTTTTGTGTCTCAGCCCATTTTTGGTGACTCCCACTGGCAAATATCCCTCAAACCCAGGATTTCATCCCAAATCCAGGCGCTGGTGGTCGGTGTCCTGACAGCCATTGGCGACCACGTCCTGAAGCCCCTCCTGGCAGCGGCGTTCCACAGCCTCCTGCAGCCGCTCCTGCTCTTCCTGCTGAAGGTGCTGGGGGGCATCCGGGACCTGGCGGATCCTGTGCTGGACGTGGTGGCCCGGGTGTGCTCCCAGCTGGCCGTGCTGCTCCGCGCTGTCCGGCTGGTGGAGATCCGCCTGCACCCGGACACACGGACCGGCCCCACGGCCGGCTGAGGGGGCCAAGGAAGAGAAGGAGGAGGAGAGAGGAAAACCCTCATTCCTGGGAATTGTGGATAAGTGGGCCTGGCTGTGGCCTGGGAGGTACTGGAGGGACCGGTATCTCCGTGTGTCCGGAGGGGGAGCAGCATGTCATGTCACTGGGAGCAGCTTTGGCTGTTCTAGCTTTGGAAATGTCTCCTTAATTTAATTAAATTCCAATTTTATCCATTGGACCTTGAGGTGATGTTCCTCTTCCTGCCTGGAAAGCTTGGTTTCCCAATGGGAAGGACTTCCCCATGTGGCCTCTTGCAGCCGGGTGGGTTCTGCTGCCGTGGAGGTGCCCGGAGTCTGTTCCTCAGCTTTTCCTGGCTCCCTGGCACCCCAGGGTGGTCTCCAGAGCCAGTGGCATGGGATAGCCCAGGATTTGGGGGCAACTGGAAAAATAAGGGATTGCCACCCTGTCTGTATTCTTGATAACTCGTTCTGGGGCACAGTTTGGGTCATGTTTTCCCACTGGGATGAGGTGGCTGAGGAGTGGAATGATGGGAGCAAAGCTCTGGGTGTGTTTTACAGACCCTTGGAGGGGCTGGTGCCGGGACTGAGCCACGTTTCGGGGCTCTGACCACCCCCTGTTTTGCTCCCTCTGCCCTCTCCCCTTTTTCTTCTCCCCTTTCCTCTCTCCCCTCTCCTGTGGTGTGGCCTCCCGGGAGCGTTTCCCCCCCGCTGGTGTAATCCATGCAGCCCCGATGATTCCATGCCCAAAGCCCTTTGCTTTTTATGGGCAGGAGCGGGGGTTTGGAGCTTCCCGGGCTGTAAGATCATCCTCGGGCCGGAGCCGGGGCCGCAGCGCTCCCGCCGGGGGCCGGCCGGGCTATTTGGGGGGTGCTGAGTTCACGGAGCCGTGACGGGATGTTCCCTCGGGCGCCGCGAGGGGCCGGGAGCCGGGAGCCAGCAAAGAGGAGCTCTCCGGGGTCGGGTGACCAAGGGCAGCGCTGGACCGAGCACCGGGACCTGCCGGGCAGCCAGCTCATTTCCCGGGAAAGGCAGAGCCGCAGGCGGACACGAGCAGGACCCACTCAGGGATGGAATCCAGGATGTCCCGCAGCAAAGCCGCCGTGCCAGGACGGCCGCACGCGGGGTCCCGGAGCCCCCCGAGACACTGGGGACACACGGTTGTCCCTGGGTTCTTCCACCCTCACCAGAACCCGGCCACTGCTCCCGTGACTTTTCCCCAAGGAAAGGGTTAAAAGGACAAACCCGAGAGGGGGGGTGGAATTGGGGGGAGGTTTCTCGCTGTGCTGATTTAGTTGGCAAATCACTTTAATGACTTAAGTGGTTTTAATTAAATCCATCTGCTCCGTAACCAGGAGTTCCCCAGTTCAGTCTCTCCTTGGCTCAAGTGCTCCCAATAAAAGGTCCAGGAGGTGGAGAGAGTTGGCAAAGCTCACCGCCCGGGATGAGGGGAGGTTGATGGTGTCATCCTCCACCAGCATCCGTCATCCCGCAGCGGGAGAGCAGGCGGAGAAGCCCCCCCGGAGCTGGGCGCTGCCCCTGCCCCCAGCAGCCCCATTCCGCTGCGGGATCCCGGGAGTTCCAAGTGGCGGCGTAAGAGCCGCTTGGAATTCGTGCTGCAGATCCGAGCGTGTCCCGGCAGTGACAGCTCGGAGCTGCAGAAACCCACGGAGTTTGGGGAGTTCGGGGTGCCGAGGAGGGAGCGGGAGCTCTGAGCCGCCGGCTCAGCTGGGGCAGACCCCTCTTTTCTTCCTCAAAACGCGCCCGAGCCCCGCGGCAGCGGGTCCGCCCCCGCAGCCGCCCCGGGCTCGGCGCTGTCCCGTGTCCCCGCCGGGGTGCCCCCGGGCAGTGCCAGGGACGATGGTGTGTCCCCCGGGCAGTGCCCGGGACGATGGTGTGTGCCCCGGGCAGTGCCAGGGACAGCGCCGTGCCGGGACAAGGACATTTCTGGGCCGGCGGCCGCGCTGGCAGCGCCCTCGCATTGCTGCTCCCTGAGATCACAGCTCCCAGCTCCTCATCCCTGGCTCCCAGCGCCTCATCCCTGGCTCCCGGCGCCCTCGGCACACGCTGGGGCGGCCGGAGGAGCGGCAATTCGCCTCTCCGGGCCCCGGAGCTCCGCTCCGGCCGAGGCGGGGGCGGCTCTGCAGAGGGGGCTTTGCCGAGGGCTGACCCCGAGCAGCGGGAGGAGGGGGCGCGGGGCCGGGGCTCGGCCAGCGGGGCCGGGAGGGATGCCAGGAGCCCAACGCGGCCTCCTCGGTTCTTCCCTAAATAGGCGGCAGCGGGCGGGAGGATTAGCCGGGGCATTCCTCGCTCCCATCCCTGTGTCCAAGCCTCCCTCAGCCGCCCCACTCTTGCGCTCCCGGCCCCGGGATTCCTCCCCTGCCCCGCGCTTCCAAACCACCGCGGGGGGATCCGCGGGTTGTTCGGCCTGGATTTTTGTTTTGGGGGAGGCTGGAGGTTCATGCTTTTCCCAGCACGAGGCCACCCGGAGCCGCTGCCCGTTCCCGAGGGGTCGCGGCCACGTGGAGCCAATCCCAGATGGTGTCACGGCCCCGGGGGCTCCGGGGTTTATGGGACTGGGCTCAGCCCGGCTCTGCTCGGGAGCGCAGCTGTGGGACCAACACTGGCCCCCCGACTGCCAGAGCATCCCGTGAAGGGTCAGGACAAGGCACAGGAGCATTGGGATAAATCGGGAATGAGTTGTTGGGGGAAGCTGGGAAAGGTTTGGTGGTTTGACTTCCCAAGGCCATCTTCCCATCGACTGAGG